TAGAACACCTATTTAGATGAGGTGCTGGCTAACGGAGTAGAACACCTATTTAGATGAGGTGCTGGCTAACGGAGTAGAACACCTATTTAGACGAGGTGCTGGCTAACGGAGTAGAACACCTGTTTAGGTGAGGTGCTGGCTGACGGCGTAAAACACTTGAAAAATTAAAGGAGAGTCTCACACTAGGAGCTCAGATGCAATAATTTAATATCTTAATAACCAACGTTTCCACAGACAAGCTGTCTTCATCAGGGTATAATGACAAACACTGCGGGTCACTAGTTTATATAGTGTCAAAGGACACACACAGGTGTCTGTAATCATGGCCGGGTGTGGCCTAATAGCATTGGTTAATTCACAGATAAACAGAACATACAAAAAACATGAATAGATAGCATACGATCATAGATACAACTTGGCTACATAGGCCCACAAACATTTACAATGAATAGCAAAATCACAATAATCACAAGAATGGCTTCAAATCAAAGTCCACGTTGAGACCGAAGGGAGCAAGGGTCTTTAAATGAAAGATCCAGGCAGCCTCTCGTTTTAACAATAAGTTGTCGAGGTCAACCCCTCTCCTAGGGAGGTTGACATGTTCGATGCCAATATAACGTAGGGACGAAATCGAGTGGTTCGCTTCCAAAAAGTGGGCCGCGACTGGGTATGTAGAGTTTTTGCAGCTAATGGTGCTACGATGCTCCGAGATTTGTACTTTTAATTCACGCTTTGTTTTACCCACATAATGTTTACCACAAGGACAAGTTATAAGATAAATAACTGCCTTAGTGGAGCACGTGATAACACCTTTGATTGGGATCTGTTTCCCTGTTTGGGGGTGTTTGTAAGTGCCATTGCATTGAGGGCAGCCATTACACTTGTAGTTTCCATTCGGCAGAGGCGCGAATAGACGTTGTGCAGGAATATTTAGGGGTGGTAAATCAGAGTTGACCAATTGATCTCTGAGATTTCTGCCCCGCGAGAATACAACCAAGGGAGGGTCCGAAAACACATTACCGATACTGTCATCGGATCTTAGAATGTGCCAATGTTTGTGAACGATTCCCTTAATTTGTTCGGAGCACTTTGAATAGCGTGTAGTTTGTATGTAACACATTTGTATTATGTAATAACAAATTCCAAATGCAAGCTTCATAAGTAAATGATCAATTTCAAGCAATTTTGACATACCAAAAGACAAGCAGCCTATGCTAGTAATTGTTGATTGATGTCCCATTGCTTGCAAAGTAACCTGTTAATATTGATACACAAAAAAATTTTGGGAGATAGATATCTATTTACGGCAATCTTATCTCCCTACAATTTGGTGTTTGCGCTGCACCCGATCCTATAGCTGCACAGCAAATCAGCAATCTGTTTCGCGCTATGTCAGTGGTTCAAACGTTTTGACCCGCGAACCCCCCAGAAAGCAGTCGTTCAAACTTGTGACCCCGCCAACGCGCACACCATCACAGCGCAAATGCAGACTTTCATTACAGCCATAAATGGCCGATGCATTTTTCAAAACGCAAGATACAGAAATAAACTGCGTTTTACGCCTGCATTTATAGCTGAAAGTCATTCATGTTTGGTAGCCAATATTCAACTAGGGGGTATCATGTCACTTGTCCAGAGAGTCCAGAGAAAGAAGGATCATACATATGGATCTGCATGCAGCAGAATGCTAGTTGCTAACTGGGTAGCCATTTTATTCCTCAGGCTACCATAATTAATTCGCCAGAATATGGCACATCTTCATGCCATAATACCGAAGGCAGTGCGATGATGTTACAGCTATCTTTAGACATGTAGCCAGTAGCCACCCAAACCAGTCCTATCTGAAATTTGAAAGTTATCAATGAAATCGCCTATTGTTGTTCTGTCGAAAACGCCTCCGTAGAGAAGTATAAACTGTATTTTATATGGATAATATAAATGTAGGCTTACTCTGTTTTTTTGTCAGGCAAAACTGGAGAAAATAAAGCAAGCGCTTGCTTTCTGGCTATACAGAATATCTCTGTCACGATCGTCATACATAGAGGACCAATGCGCAGCGTTGAAAGTGAACATATTTTATTCCTATAAATGATCAAAAACACAAACGAAAACGTGACGTCTACGGTTTCACACAAACCGAAATGAACAAGAAACCACAAACACAACGTGAAAGACAGATAGTTAAATATGGCTCCCAATCAGAGACAACGAGCCAACAGCTGACACTCGTTACCTCTGATTGGGAGTCACTCAAACAAAGAAATACAATAACCTAGAACCCACCACAAAACATAGAAACTAACACCCTGGCTCAACATACGAGAGTCCCCCGAGCCAGGGCGTGACAGTACCCCCCCCTAAAGGCGCGGACTCCGACCGCGCCAACGAAACACAACAGGGGAGGGACCGGGTGGGCACTCCGCCTAGGCGGCGGATCCGGCTCCAGTGGAACAGGCACGTGCCGTGCCGGACCGACGACGCACACCACTGGCTTGGTGTGGGGAACAGGCACGGGCCGTGCTGCACAGACGACGCACACCACTGGCTTGGTGTGGGGAGCAGGAGCGGGCCGGACAGGGCTGACGAACCGCCCCACAGACTTGGTGCTGGGAGCAGGAATGGGCCGGACCGGGCTGGCGACGCGCACCACAGACCTGGTGCGGAGAGCAGGAACGGGCAGAGCCGGGCTGACGAGACGCACCACAGACTTGACGCGGGGAGCAGGAATGGGCCGGACCGGGCTGGCGACGCGCACCACAGACCTGGTGCGGAGAGCAGGAACGGGCAGAGCCGGGCTGACGAGACGCACCACAGACTTGATGCGGGGAGCAGGAATGGGCCGGACTGGGCTTGCGACGCGCACCGCAGGTTCGGTGCGGGGAGCAGGAATAGACCGGACCGTACTGGGGACACACACCACTGGCTCCACACCGGGATCTGGAACGGGCCGGACCGGACTGGCAACACACGCCAGTACCTCTCGCCGTGCCTCCACACCTTCCATCCCCTCTTCTACCAGTGGCCCCCGTAACCCGGCGGCCTTCTCCGGCAACCCACTGGACCGCTCCATCGCGGCCTCCTGCTGGTCCGCCGTCGTGAGCCCCCCCCTAAAAAGTTTTGGGGCGTCTCTCCTACCCGTGGACCACGTCTCCATATCCCTCGCCAGCTTCTCGCCCTTCTGCCATAAGGTCAAGCCCTTGTCTTCCTCCCTCGGCTTGACCCAGTCCAGGAGGCGAAGGAGATCTGTGAGGGATCTCCCTGGCGACGGCTCCTGGACACGCTGCTTGGTCCCATCTTGGTGGTTTCTTCTGTCACGATCGTCATACATAGAGGACCAATGCGCAGCGTTGAAAGTGAACATATTTTATTCCTATAAATGATCAAAAACACAAACGAAAACGTGACGTCTACGGTTTCACACAAACCGAAATGAACAAGAAACCACAAACACAACGTGAAAGACAGATAGTTAAATATGGCTCCCAATCAGAGACAACGAGCCAACAGCTGACACTCGTTACCTCTGATTGGGAGTCACTCAAACAAAGAAATACAATAACCTAGAACCCACCACAAAACATAGAAACTAACACCCTGGCTCAACATACGAGAGTCCCCCGAGCCAGGGCGTGACAATCTCACCACCGTGTGTTCCCATCTCCTCCTCCCTCTCCTTTATTCCTTTCTCCAGCGTGCAGACGGGCTGTCAGCAGTTTAGTGAAATATGTTTCGTTTGCGAAAACAAGTTGCTATAGAAGTTCTGGAACAGATTTCACTTGGTTTCCTGAAGTAAGCACTGGGTAACTTCAGGAACAGGGTTGGAGAGCCCATGGCACACAGAGTTCGGGCAGAATATCACCTGTTGGCTCAAACAGTGGTTGATGGGTGGAGTGAAAATAAGTGTTCTTATATTTATTTCTCGTGTTTTAATCACAGCTCTGCTCTTAACCCGAAGTAGCCTACAAAGCGGATCGGCGGGAAAGCACTATTCGAGTCCATTTGATAATGGGCCATTCTAAATCGAAATATATTATTAAATTGAGAATAGTCTGATGGGTGTAGTCGCATCATGCAGCCCATATTCATTTTGATTTCTAAGACATTCTAAGGTTTGCATCATTCACAACTAAAGTTGCCAAATAACTCTAAATCTAGTTTATAGGACCTTGTTTCAAATGATCACTTTTACACTCCACGTAGCCACTTCATTTGCGCACTCGCTCCATAATGTGAAAATATCCTTTCTATTTTATTCAGCTAAATTCAATTACATTCTTCTTACTATAAAATGTAACTGTGTTACCTTTATAAGTACACCATATACCTTTATAAGTACACCATATACCTTTATAAGTACACCATATACCTTTATAAGTACACCATATACCTTTATAAGTACACCATATACCTTTATAAGTAGAGCATATACCTTTATAAGTACAGCATATACCTTTATAAGTACACCATATAAGGGTACCTTTATAAGTACAGCATATACCTTTATAAGTACAGCATATACCTTTATAAGTACACCATATACCTTTATAAGTACACCATATACCTTTATAAGTACACCATATACCTTTATAAGTACACCATATACCTTTATAAGTACACCATATACCTTTATAAGTAGAGCATATACCTTTATAAGTAGAGCATATACCTTTATAAGTACAACATATACCTTTATAAGTACACCATATACCTTTATAAGTAGAGCATATACCTGTATAAGTACACCATATACCTTTATAAGTAGAGCATATACCTTTATAAGTACAGCATATACCTTTATAAGTACACCATATAAGGGTACCTTTATAAGTACAGCATATACCTTTATAAGTACACCATATACCTTTATAAGTAGAGCATATACCTTTATAAGTACAACATATACCTTTATAAGTACACCATATACCTTTATAAGTACAGCATATACCTTTATAAGTACAGCATATACCTTTATAAGTACAGCATATACCTTTATAAGTACAGCATATACCTTTATAAGTACACAAAGTTTATTGTAAACACACATGCCTACACATATACTAGATCCACTAACTGGTTTGCTACTAAACATTTTCTGACCTTTATCAATGGCTATGATTTGAATATGGTTGACTATACATCTTTTGCACACTTGAGTACTGAACAGTGATGGTGATTACAAATGGCTAGTCAGGGGACGGATGGTGAGTGGACTGGAGGTGTCATGGTAGTTATGGTATTTTGATCTGGTCCAGTACCTCTACAGCTATAGTCAGGGGACAGATGGTCAGTGGACTGGAGGTGTTTCCCTCCTCATACATCCCAGGAGAAAAATAAGGAAAGATCCTCTCAGTGAACTTCTCTCTGAACATGTGTATCAGCGTTGAGTCCACTGCGTTCAGAAACAGCACCTTCCCTCGGTCGTAGTCCAGCTCCACAGTGATCCTCCACGGCTTCCTCTCTCTCTTCACCGCCAGGCGCATCCGCGGGCACGTCTGGGCCCAGTACGTCTCCCCGTTACACAACCCGATTACCCAGAATCCCTCAGCAGGGTTGAGGAAGATGGCGGACTTGCGTTTGATGGACTCTCGGGCAACTCCGATGTACCAGTCCCTGCTCTGGCCCACCTCTACGGTCCAGCTGTGTCTTCCAGAGGTGAACCCTGTAGCTCCCAGGACCGAGATGCGGCTAGCGAGGCGCTCGGGGTTGTCTGGCAGGCGTTTCTTACTGCTGTACCTCACACTGCTGAACTCCTCAGAGAAGCTGAGGTTGGACTGGGCTGTGTTGGGATCCAGCGTTATGGGGACTGGAAGGAGGAGAAACATCTATCACTACAGCGTATGCTAATTGGTAGAGCAGAAGGAGTATGCTAATTGGTATAGCAGAAGGAGTGTGTTAATTGGTAGAGCAGAAGGAGTGTTTTAATTGGTAGAGCAGAAGGAGTGTGTTAATTGGTAGAGCAGAAGGAGTGTGTTAATTGGTATAGCAGAAGGAGTGTGTTAATTGGTAGAGCAGAAGGAGTGTGTTAATTGGTAGAGCAGAAGGAGTGTGTTAATTGGTAGAGCAGAAGGAGTGTGTTAATTGGTAGAGCAGAAGGAGTGTGTTAATTGGTATAGCAGAAGGAGTGTGTTAATTGGTAGAGCAGAAGGAGTGTGTTAATTGGTAGAGCAGAAGGAGTGTGTTCATTGGTAGAGCAGAAGGAATGTGTTAATTGGTAGAGCAGAATGAGTGTGTTAATTGGTAGAGCAGAAGGAGTGTGTTAATTGGTAGAGCAGAATTAGTATGCTAATTGGTATAGCAGTGGGAGTGTGTTAATTGGTAGAACAGAAGGAGTGTGTTAATTGGTAGAGCAGAAGGAGTGTGTTAATTGGTAGAGCAGAAGGAGTGTGTTAATTGGTATAGCAGCATACAGATATATTCATTTCATTTCTTGGCAATGGGAATCCGAAAACATGTTTTGAATGTCTGACTGAATGTCTGACTGAATGTCTGAGGTCTATATCAACAGGTTGCACAAACATGCATTTTGTTTATGTATAAGGACACTTTCTCTACTTGATCAAAATGGTAGTCTGTCGCGTGGGAGATTTGGTTCTGGATGCCAAAGTTATCTAAATCGTTTTTGGAATTTGTACGAATGGCTGCGAAGAATATGTAGCCTATACTCACCCTTCTGGACAATGTCTGCCATCTTCTTCCAGATTTCAAACTTGAGTGATCCCAGATGTTTGGCAGCGTCTATCAGGATTCCTCTGATACACTCTGGCTCTCCCAGGGGGCATTTGGTCCTGGAACATGATGGATTTATCATCAATAAGGTTTCAATAAAAAACTTGCTTTAGTTAGTAATAGTAGGTAGTAATAGTAGGTAGTAATACTAGTAATATTTGTTAGAAATTGTAGGTGGTAATAGTAGTGATAGTAGGTAGTAATAGTAGTAATAGTACGTAGTAATATTAATATTAGGTAGTAATAATAGTAGGTAGTAATAGTAGATAGTAATAGTAGTAATAGTAGGCAGTAATAGTAGGTAGTGATAGTAGGTAAGAGTAATAGTAGGTAGTAATAGTAGGTAGTAAGAGTAGTAATAGTAGGTAGTAATAGTAGTAATAGTAGGTAGTGATAGTAAGTAGTAATAGTAGTAATAGTAATAGTAGGTAGTAATAGTAGTACTCATAGGCAGTAATAGTAGGCAGTAATAGTAGGTAGTAGTATTAGTAGGTAGTAATAGTAGGTAGTAATAGTAGGCAGTAATAGTAGTAATCATAGGCAGTAATAGTAGGTAGTAATAGTAAGTAGTAATAGTAGTAATAGTAGTTAGTAATATTAGGTAGTAATAGTAGGTAGTAATAGTAGGTAGTAATAGTAGGTAGTAATAGTAGTACTCATAGGCAGTAATAGTAGGCAGTAATAGTAGTAATAGTAGGCAGTAATAGTAGTAATAGTAGGTAGTGATAGTATGTAGTGATAGTAGGTAGATATAGTAGGTAGTAATAGTAGTAATCATAGGCAGTAATAGTAGGTAGTAATAGTAAGTAGTAATAGTAGTAATAGTATTAGTAGGTAGTAATAGTAGTACTCATAGGCAGTAATAGTAGGCAGTAATAGTAGGTAGTAGTATTAGTAGGTAGTAATAGTAGGTAGTAATAGTAGGCAGTAATATTGGGTAGTAATAGTAGTAATAGTAGTAACAGTAGGTAGTAGGAGTAGGTAATAGTAGGTAGTAATATTAGGCAGTTATAGTAGGGAGAAATAGTAGGTAGTAATAGTAGTAATAGTAGGCTTTAATAGTATGTATTAATAGTAGGTAGTAATATGAAGCAGTAGTAATAGTAGGTAGTAATAGTAGGTAGTAATAGTAGTAATAGTAGGTAGTGATAGTAGGTATTAATAGTAGTCATAATAGGTAGTAATAGTTGTGATATTATATAGTAATAGTAGGTAGTAATATGAAGCAGTAGTAATAGTAGGTAGTAATAGTAGTAATAGTAGGTAGTAATAGTAGTGATAGTAGGTATTAATAGTAGTAATAGTACGTAGTAATATTAGGTAGTAATAATAGTAATAGTAGGTAGTAATAGTAGATAGTAATAGTAGTAATAGTAGGTAGTAATAGTAGGTAGTGATGGTAGGTAGTAGTAATAGTAGGTAGTAATATTAGATAGTAATAGTAGTAATAGTAGGTAGTAATAGTAGGTAGTGATAGTAGGTAGTAAGAGTAGTAATAGTAGTTAGTAATAGTAGGTAGTGATAGTAGGTAGTAATAGTAGGTAGTAATAGTAGGTAGTGATAGTAGGTAGTGATAATAGGTAGATATAGTAGGTAGTAATAGTAGGTAGTAGTATTAGTAGGTAGTAATAGTAGGCAGTAATATTGGGTAGTAGTAGTAGTAATAGTAGTAACTGTAGGTAGTAAGAGTAGGTAATAGTAGGTAGTAATATGAGGTAGTTATAGTAGGGAGTAATAGTAGTAATCATAGGGAGTAATAGTAGGTAGTAATAGTAGTAATAGTAGGTAGTAATAGTAGGCTTTAATAGTAGGTATTAATAGTAGGTAGTAATATGAAGTAGTAGTAATAGTATGTAGTAATAGTAGTAATAGTAGGTAGTAATAGTAGGCAGTAATAGTAGGTAGTAATAGTAGGTAGTAATATGAAGTAGTAGTAATAGTATGTAGTAATAGTATGTAGTAATAGTAGTGTCACGCCCTGGCTCTGGGGACTCTTATATGTTGAGCCAGGGTGTTAGTTTCTATGTTAGTGTTCTATGTTCATGTTCTAGTTCATGTGTTTCTATGTTGGCCGGGGTGGTTCCCAATTAGAGGCAGCTGTGGCTTGTTGTCTCTGATTGGGAACCATACTTAGGCAGCCTGTTTTGCACTTGTCATTTGTGGGATCTTTGTTCCGGAGAGGTTTGTGTTGTGTTAACCTTAGGACTTCACGTATCGTTTTGTTGTTTTGTTGTTCGTGTTTAAAGTACTCATTAAAAGATGTACGCATATCACGCTGTGCCTTGGTCCGTTGCTTACGACGATTGTGACAAAATATCCCACCAATTAAGGACCAAGCAGCGTGTCCAGGAGCAAACGCCGGAGGTAACGCTAGTGGATGTCCTCCTCGGTTGGGGGAAGATCACCGAGGAGGAGGCCGTCCGCTACCGGAGGGCGATGAGGGAGGATGTCCAGGCAGGAGAGGAGAAGCGGCGCCAACCGGGTCGTCGTCGGACAGGCGAGAGGCAACCCCAATAAAAAAATTTGGGGGGGCACACGGCATGGACGACGGGGCTGCTGGAGGAGTTTGTGGACTAGGAGAGGAGGCCACCAGGTTACGGGGGCCATTGGTCAGGAGGGAGAAGGAGAGTGTGGAGGCACGGCGAGAGGAACTGAGTAGGCAGCAGAGGGAGCGGAGGTTTATGAGGAAACCCAGTCCCGCTCCTCGCACCAAGCAAGTGGTGAGTGTCACCAGTCCGGTCCGGCCCGTTCCTGATTCCCGCACAAGGCCAGTGGTGTGTGATCCCAGCCCGGTCCGGCCCGTTCCTGCTCCCCGCACCAAGCCTGTGGTGCGCGTCGTCAGCCCGGTCCGGCCTGTTCCTGCTCCCCGCACCAAGCCAGTGGTGCGCGTCGTCAGCCCGGTCCGGCCCATCCCTGCTCCCCGCATCAAGACAGTTGTGCGCGTCGCCAGCCCGGTCCGGCCTGTTCCTGCTCCCCGCACCAAGCCAGTGGTGCGCGTCGTCAGCCCGGTCCGGCCCATCCCTGCTCCCCGCATCAAGACAGTGGTGCGCGTCGCCAGCCCGGTCCGGCCGGTTCCTGCTCCCCGCACCAAGCCTGTGGTGCGCGTCGCCAGCCCGGCCCGGCCCGGCCTGTTCCTGCTCCCCGCACCAAGCCAGTGGTGCGTGTCGTCAGTCCGGCACAGCCCGTGCCTGTTCCACCGGTGCCTGGTCAGGTACCAGTCAGCTGCTCCACACCGGAGCCTAAGCAATCCGCTCCACCGATGTCCAGTCCAGCTCCAGCCAGCGGGACCAGACCAGGGGCGCTACGGGGGGGGTAGCTAGAGAGTGGTGGTCACGCCCGGAGCCGGATCCGCCTCCGAGGCGGAATGCCCACCCGGCCCCTCCCCTGTTGGGTTTAGTTGGCGCGGTCGCAGTCCGCGCCTTTGGGGGGGGGGTACTGTCACGCCCTGGCTCTGGGGACTCTTATATGTTGAGCCAGGGTGTTAGTTTCTATGTTAGTGTTCTATGTTCTAGTTCATGTGTTTCTATGTTGGCCGGGGTGGTTCCCAACCAGAGGCAGCTGTGGCTTGTTGTCTCTGATTGGGAACCATACTTAGGCAGCCTGTTTTGCCCTTGTCATTTGTGGGATCTTGTTCCGGAGAGGTTTGTGTTTTGTTAACCTTAGGACTTCACGTATCGTTTTGTTGTTTTGTTGTTCGTGTTTAAAGTACTCATTAAAAGATGTACCCATATCACGCTGCGCCTTGGTCCGTTGCTTACGACGATCGTGACAAGTAGTAATAGTAGGTATTAATAGTAGGTAGTAATATGAAGTAGTAGTAATATTAGGTAGTAATAATAGTAAGTAGGTAGTAATAGTAGATAGTAATAATAGGTAGTAATAGTAGTAGTAGTAGGTAGTAATAGTAGTAATAGTAGGTAGTAATATTAGGTAGTAAGAGTAGGTAGTAATAGTAGGTAGTAATTGTAGTAATAGTAAGTATTAGTATTAGTAGGTAGTATTAGTAGGTAGGAGTAGTAGTAATAGTAGGTAATGTTAGTCATAGTATGTAGTAATAGTAGGTAATAATCGTAGGTAGTAATAGTAGTAGGTAGTAATAGTAGGTATTAATATTAGTAGTAGTAGGTAGTAATAGTAGGTAGTAATAGTATGTACCAATAGTATTTAGTAATAATAGGTAGTAATAGTATGTACCAATAGTATTTAGTAATAGTAGGTAGTAATCGTACGAGGAAATAGTAGGTAGTAATAGTAGGTAGTAATATTAGTAATAGCAGGTAGCAATAGTAATTGTAGGTAGTGGTAGGTAGTAATAGTAGGTAGTAATAGTAGGTAGTAATGGTAGTAATAGTAGTCATATTAAGGGAAACGGGGATACCTTGTCAGTTGTACAACTGAATGCATTAAACTGAAATGTGTCTTCCGCATTTAACCCAACCCCTCTGAATCAGAGAGATTTTAGTTGGTAGTAATAGTAGTTAATAATAGTAGGTAGTAATAGTAGGTATAATAGTAGTAAAAGTAGGTAGTAATATTAGGTAGTAATAGTAGTATTAGTATTATTAGTAGGTAGTAATTGTAGGTAGTAATAGTAGTAATAGTAGGTAGTAGTAGTAGTAGTAGTAGTAGTGGTAGTAGTGGTAGTGGTAGTAGTGGTAGTAGTAGCATTTGTAGTAATAGTAGGTAGTAATAGTAGTTAGTAATAGTAGTAATAGTAGGTAATAGTAGTAGGTAGTAATAGTAGGTAGTAGTAGTAGTGGTAGTAGTAGTAGTAGTAGTGGTAATAGTAGTAGCAGTTGTAGTAATAGTAGGTAGTAATAGTGGTAATAGTAGTAATATTAGTTAGTCATATTATTTAGTAATAGTAGGTAGTAATAGTAGGTAGTAAGAGTAGGTAATAATAGTAGTAATATTAGTTAGTCATATTATTTAGTAATAGTAGGTAGTAATAGTAGGTAGTAATAGTAGGTAGTAATAGTAGTCATATTAAGGGAAACGGGGATACCTTGTCAGTTGTACAACTGAATGCATTAAACTGAAATGTGTCTTCTGATTAAACCCAACCCCTCTGAATCATAGATATTTTAGTTGGTAGTAATAGTAGTTAATAATAGTAGGTAGTAAAAGTAGGAAGCAGTAGCAGGTAGTAATAGTAGGTAGTAATAGTATGTAGTAATAGTAGGTAGTAATAGTAGTAATAGTAGGTAGTAATAGTAGTAATAGTAGTTAGTAATAGTAGTTAGTAATAATATGTATAAATAGTATGTAGTAATAGTATGTGGTGGTAGTAATAGTAGTTAGTAATAGTAGGTAGTCATAGTAGTAACAATAGTAATAATAGGTAGTAATGTTAGGTAGTAATGGTAGTAATAGTAGGTAGTAATGGTATGTAGTAATAGTAGTAATAGTATGTAGTAATAGTAGGTATTAGTAGTAGTAGGTAGTAATAGTAGGTAGTAATTGTAGTAATTGTAGGTAGTAGTAGTAGAAGTAGTAGTGGTAGTGGTAGTGGTAGTGGTAGTAGTGGTAGTAGTAGCAGTTGTAGTAATAGTAGGTAGTAATAGTAGTAATAGTAGTTAGTAATAGTAGTAATAGTAGGTAATAGTAGTAGTAGTAGTAATAGTAGTAGTAGTAGGTAGTAGAAGGTAGTCATAGTAGGTAGTAATAGTAGGTAGTAGTAGTAGTGGTAGTAGTAGTAGTAGAAGTGGTAATAGTAGTAGTAGTGGTAGTAGTAGCAGTTGTAGTAAGAGTAGGTATTAATAGTAGTAATATTAGTTAGTCATATTATTTAGTAATAGTAGGTAGTAATAGTAGGTAGTAAGAGTAGGTAGTAATAGTAGTAATATTAGTTAGTCATATTATTTAGTAATAGTAGTAGTAATAGTAGGTAGTAATAGTAGGTAGTAATAGTAGTCATATTAAGGGAAACGGGGATACCTTGTCAGTTGTACAACTGAATGCATTAAACTGAAATGTGTCTTCTGATTAAACCCAACCCCTCTGAATCATAGATATTTTAGTTGGTAGTAATAGTAGTTAATAATAGTAGGTAGTAAAAGTAGGAAGCAGTAGCAGGTAGTAATAGCAGGTAGTAATAGTAGTAATAGTAGGTATTAATAGTAGTAATAGTAGGTAGTAATAGTATGTAGTAATAGTAGGTAGTAATAGTAGTAATAGTAGGTATTAATAGTAGTAATAGTAGGTAGTAATAGTAGGTAGTATTAGTAGGTAGTATTAGTAGGTAGTAATAGTAGGTAGTAATCGTATGTAGTAATAGTAGGTATTAATAGTAGTAATAGTAGTTATAGTAGGTAGTAATGGTAGGTAGTAATAGTGGTAATAGTAGGTAGTAATAGTATGTAGTAGTAGTTGTAATATTAGTTAGTACTAGTAGTAATATTAGTTAGTAATATTTTGTAGTAAAAGCACATAGCAATAGTAGTAATAGTAGGTTGTAATAGTGGTAATAAAAGTTAGTAATTGTAGTAATAATAGGCAGTAATAGTAAGTAGTGAAAGTAGGTAGTAATATTAGTAATAGTAGGTAGTAATATTAGTAATAGTAGGTAGTAATAATAGTAATAGTAGTTATAGTTATAGTAGGTAGTAATGGTAGGTAGTAATAGTGGTAATAGTAGGTAGTAATAGTAGTACTATTAGTTATAGTAGGTAGTAATGGTAGGTAGTAATAGTGGTAATAGTAGGTAGTAATAGTAGGTAGTAGTAGTATGTAGTAATATTATATAGTAATAGTAGGTAGTAGTAGTATTTGTATTTATTAGGGATCCCTTCCCCCACCATAGGCCTATACATACCTGCTTTTTGTTTTCTTGTAGTCCTAGAGAGGTAGAGTAAAACAATGTGATGTTATTGAATAGAGTCATATTAATAATAAATCACTTTATTGACAAAATGTTGAATACGTGTAAGTCATCCTGTATGAATTGACCATTTAATTTGTTAATTTATTTAGGATTAGATACCTGTAAAAACTTCACGTCATCCGCTTGTATAGCCGTCTCTACTTCACCGATGGCGTCTGTGAGGGCAGCGATCCTCTCCTTGATGTACTCCAGCTTGATACACATCACCTGAGTGTTCGTCTCCTCTTCCTGTCTCAGCTTGGCCACTCTGTTCTTCTCCTCCTCCCTCAAGATCTGGTGGAACCTCTCAAACTCCTCCTTCATCTGTCGCTCCGTCTGGTCCGCCTGGCTCTGCAGTTAATCAGATTGATTCGTTGAGTGATTCATTGATAGTGTATGTATTTAGCTCACTAACTAATTCGAAAAGCTTACTGAAGTCGTCCATCTGTTCTGAGAAAAAAAAAAGCTGATTCCTTAACACGCTAGGGAACTACTGTAGCAAACAAAACTTACCTTTATGTAATATTTGGTTTCTTCCCAATCCTCTTTAGTCTTGTTGAGTATTTTCAGGTGTTTCTGCAATGAATCAAGCTTGGCTGAGACCTCTATCTGAAATAATTATATAAAAAAATAACATTTATCCCAAACTCTTGACCATAACGTAAATAAACCTTCCATTGCTTGCATAACCTAGTGCCACAAACACACAAACAAACACACACACGCACGCACGCACGCACGCACGCACGCACGCACGCACGCACGCACGCACGCACGCACGCACGCACGCACGCACGCACGCACACACACACACACACACACACACACACACACACACACACACACACACACACACACACACACACACACACAATCAAAAGATTGAGCTGCAGTGGATAGCGGACGTTTTACAGGCTTCTGACCAATTTTGCTATTTTGTGTGTTTTTTAGTGCTGATCTTTTTAATTTTTTTTGTAGATAATGTTTCCGCCATCGTTTCCTATGACCGAAATGAGCTCTGGACGTTCTGCTTACTCCAGACCAGGGTAAAACTAAGGGGGGAGGGGTGTGTCTATTTGTTAACAGCAGCTGGTGTGTGTCTCTAATATGAAGGAAGTCTCTGAGTTCTGCTCACCTAAGCTGTAGACCATACTATTTACCAAGAGAGTTTTCATCTATATTTTTCGTAGCTGTCTATTTACCACCACAAACCGACACTGGTACTAAGACCACACTCAACGAGCTGTATAGGGCCATAAGCAAACAGGAAAACGCTCATCCAGAGACGGTGCTCCTAGTGGCCGGTGATTTGAATGCAGGAAAACAGAAATCTGTTTTACCAACTTCTTTCCAGCATTTCACCTGTGAAACTAGAGGCGACAAAACTCTAGATCACCTTTACTCCACACACAGAAACGCGTACAAAGCTCTCCCTCACCCTCCATTTGGCAAATATGACCATAACTCTATCCTCCTGATTTCTGCTTACAAGCAAAAACTCAAACAGGAAGTACCAGTGATGCGCTCAATACGGAAGTGGTCAGATGAAGCTGATGCTAAGCTACAGGACTGTTTGCACAAACTGGAATATGTTCCGGGATTCAATCAATAACATTGAGGAGTTTACCACATCAGTCACCGGCTTCATTAATAAGTGCATCCACAACAACGTTCCCACAGTAACCGTACATAACAGTCCATTCTGAAAGTATTCAGACCCCATTACTTTTTCCACATTTTGTTACGTTACAGCCTTATTCTAAAATTGATTAAATTGCTTTTTTCCCTCATCAATCTACACATAATACTCCATAATGACAATGTGAAAGCAGTTTTATAGATATTTTTGTAGTATTCAGACCCTTTATTCAGTACTTTGTTGAAGCACCTTTGGCAGCGATTACAGCCTAGAGTCTTACATTTTACATTTTAGTCATTTAGCAGACGCTCTTATCCATAGCGACTTACAGTTAGTGAGTACATACATTATTTTTCATACTGGCCCCCCGTGGGAATCGAACCCACAACCCTGGCGTTGCAAACGCCATGCTCTACCAACTGAGCTACATCCCTGCCGGCCATTCCCTCCCCTACCCTGGACGACGCTGGGCCAATTGTGCGCCGCCCCATGGGTCTCCCGGTCGCGGCCGGCTACGACAGAGCCTGGTTCGAACCAGGATCTCTAGTGGCACAGCTAGCACTGCGATGCAGTGCCTTAGACCACTGCACCACTCGGGTATGATGCTACAAGCTTGGTACACCTGTATTTGGGGAGTTTCTCCCATTCTTCTCTGCAGATCCTCTCAAGCTCTGTCAGGTTGGATGGGGAGCTTCTCTGAACAGCTATTTTTAGGTCTCTCCAGAGATGTTTGATCGGGTTCAAGTCTGGGCTCTGGCTGGGCGCTTCAAGGACATTCAGAGACTTGTCCCGAAGCCACTCCTGCGTTGTCTTGGCTGTGTGCTTAGGGTCGTTGTCCTGTTGGAAGGTGAACCTTCACCCCAGTCTGAGGTCCTGAGCACTCTGGAGCAGGTTTTTATCAAGGATCTCTATGTACTTTGCTCCGTTCATCTTTCCCTCAATCCTGAGTAGTCTCCCAGTCCCTGCCGCTGAAAAACATCCCCACAGCATGATCCTGCCACCACCATGCTTCACCGTAGGGATGGTGCCAGGTTTCCTCCAGACGTGACGCTTGGCATTCAGGCCAAAGAGTTCAATCTTGGTTTCATCAGACCAGAGAATCTTGTTTCTCATGGTCTGAGAGTCCTTTAGGTGCCTTTTGGCAAACTCCAAGCAGGCTGTCATGTGCCTTTACTGAGGAGTGGCTACCGTCTGGCCACTCTACCATAAAGGCCTGATTGGTGGAGTGCTGCAGAGATGGTTGTCCTTCTGGAAGGTTCTCCCATCTCCACAGTCAAATTCTGGAGCTCTGTCAGAGTGACCATCGGGTTCCTGGTGACCTCCCTGACCAAGGCCCTTCTCCCCCGATTGCTCAGTTTGGCCAGGCGGCCAACACTAGGAAGAGTCTTGTTGGTTCCAAACTTCTTCCATTTAAGAATGATGGAGGCCACTGTGTTCTTGGGGACCTTCAATGCTGGAGAAATTGTTTTGTACCCTTCCCCAGATCTGTGCCTCGACACAATCCTGTTTCGGAGCTCTACGGACAATTCCTTCGACCTCATGGCTTGGTTTATGCTCTGACATGCACCGTCAACTGTGGGACCTTATATAGACAGGTGTGTGTCTTTCCAAATCATGTCCAATCAATTGAATTTAGCACAGGTGGACTCCAATCAAGCTGTAGAAACATCTCAAGGATGATCAATGGAAACAGGATGCACCTGAGCTCAATTTCGAGTCTCATAGCAAAGGGTCTGAATACTTATGTAAGTGTGATATTTCTGTTTTTTATTTTTAATACATTTGCTAAAATTTCTAAAAACCTGTTTTCACTTTGTCATTATGGGGTATTGTGTGTAGATTGATGAGGAACAAAATACTATTTAATCCATTTTAGAATAAGGGCTGTAACGTAACAAAATGTGGTGCCAACAACTTTTCCCTCAACGTCAGCGAGACAAAGGAGCTGATCGTGGACTACAGGAAATGGAGGGCAGAGCACGCCGCCATCCACATTGATGAGGCTGTAGTGGAGAGGCTCGAGACCTTCAAGTTTCTCGGTGGAAATAACATGGTCCAAACACACCAAGACAGTCGTGAAGAGGGCACGACAACGCCTCTTCCCCCTCAGGAGGCTGAGAAGATTTGGCATCGGCCCTCAGATCTGCCAAGTTCTACAGCTGCACCACTGAGAGCATCTTGACTGGCTGCATCACCGCCTGGTATCTGACTACAGAGGGTAGTGCGTACGGCCCAGTACATCATGGGGCCAAGCTTCCTGCCATCCAGGACCTCTATACCAGGCGGTGTCAGAGGGTAGTGCGTACGGTCCAGTACATCATGGGGCCAAGCTTCCTGCCATCCAGGACCTCTATACCAGGCGGTGTCAGAGGGTAGTGCGTACGGCCCAGTACATCATGGGGCCAAGCTTCCTGCCATCCAGGACCTCTATACCAGGCGGTGTCAGAGGGTAGTGCGTACGGCCCAGTACATCATGGGGCCAAGCTTCCTGCCATCCAGGACCTCTATACCAGGCGGTCTCAGAGGAAGACCCTCACATTTTCAGACTCCAGCCACCCAATTCATGTTCTCTCTGCTACCACACACCAAGCACCCGGACTAGCTGCTACTGTCTATTATCTATCCTGTTGTCTAGTCCCTTTACCCCTACCTACAGTATACTGCTGCTACTGTCTATTATCTATCCTGTTGCCTAGTCACTTTATCTCTACCTATATGTACATACAGTATCTACCTCAATGACCTGGTACTCCCTGTATATAGCCATGTTATTTCCTGGTACTCCCTGTATATAGCCATGTTATTACCTGGTACTTCCGGTATATAGCCATGTTATTACCTGGTACTCCCTGTATATAGCCATGTTATTACCTGGTACTTCCTGTATATAGCCATGTTATTACCTGGTACTTCCTGTATATAGCCATGTTATTACCTGGTACTCCCTGTATATAGCCATGTTATTACCTGGTACTCCCTGTATATAGCCATGTTATTACCTGGTACTCCCTGTATATAGCCATGTTATTACCTGGTACTCCCTGTATATAGCCATGTTATTACCTGGTACTTCCTGTATATAGCCATGTTATTACCTGGTACTCCCTGTATATAGCCATGTTATTACCTGGTACACCCTGTATATAGCCATGTTATTACCTGGTACTCCCTGTATATAGCCATGTTATTACCTGGTACTCCCTGTATATAGCCATGTTATTACCTGGTACTCCCTGTCTATAACCATGTTATTACCTGGTACTCCCTGTATATAGCCATGTTATTACCTGGTACTCCCTGTATATAGCCATGTTATTACCTGGTACTCCCTGTATATAGCCATGTTATTACCTGGTACTCCCTGTATATAGCCATGTTATTACCTGGTACTCCCTGTATATAGCCATGTTATTACCTGGTACTCCCTGTATATAGCCATGTTATTACCAGGTACTGCCTGTATATAGCCATGTTAATACCTGGTACTCCCTGTCTATAACCATGTTATTACCTGGTACTCCCTGTATATAGCCATGTTATTACCTGGTACTCCCTGTATATAGCCATGTTATTACCTGGTACTCCCCTGTATATAGCCATGTTATTACCTGGTACTCTCTGTATATAGCCATGTTGTTACCTGGTACTCCCTGTATATAGCCATGTTATTACCTGGTACTCCCTGTATATAGCCATGTTATTACCTGGTACTTCCTGTATATAGCCATGTTATTACCTGGTACTCCCTGTCTATAACCATGTTATTACCTGGTACTCCCTGTATATAGCCATGTTATTAGCTGGTACTCCCTGTATATAGCCATGTTATTACCTGGTACTCCCTGTATATAGCCATGTTATTACCTGGTACTTCCTGTATATAGCCATGTTATTACCTGGTACTCCCTGTATATAGCCATGTTATTACCTGGTACTCCCTGTATATAGCCATGTTATTACCTGGTACTCCCTGTATATAGCCATGTTATTACCTGGTACTCCCTGTATATAACCATGTTATTACCTGGTACTCCCTGTATATAGCCATGTTATTACCTGGTACTCCCTGTATATAGCCATGTTATTACCTGGTACTCCCTGTATATAACCATGTTATTACCTGGTACTCCCTGTATATAGCCATGTTATTACCTGGTACTTCCTGTATATAGCCATGTTATTACCTGGTACTCTCTGTATATAGCCATGTTATTACCTGGTACTCCCTGTATATAGCCATGTTATTACCTGGTACTCCCTGTATATAGCCATGTTATTACCTGGTACTCCCTGTTTATAGCCATGTTATTACCTGGTACTCCCTGTATATAGCCATGTTATTACCTGGTACCCCGTGTATATAGCCATGTTATTACCTGGTACCCATGGACAGTAGTGTAAAGTACTTAAGTAAAAATACTTTGAAGTACTACCTAAGTAGTTTTTTGGGGTATCTGTACTTTACTATTAATATTTTTAACTACTTTTACTTTTACTTCACTACATTCCTAAAGAAAATAATGTACTTTTTACTTTATACATTTTCCCTGACACCCAAAAGTACTACATTTTGAATGCTTAGCAGGACGGGAAAATGGTCCAATTCACGCAATTATCAACAGAACATCCCTGCTGATCCCTACTGCCTCTGATCTGGTGGAGTCACTAAACACACGCTTCGTTTGTAAATTATATCTGAATGTTTGAGTGTGCCCCTGGCTATCTGTGCACTTTTTTTTTTTAAACAAGAAAATGGTGCTATCGGGTTTGCTTAATATAAGGAATTTGAAATGATTTATACTTTTACTTTTACTTTTGATACTTAAGTATATATTAGCAAATACATTTACTTTTGATACATAGTTGAAGTCGGAAGTTTACATACACCTTAGCCAAATGCATTTAAACTCAGCTTTTCACAATTCATAATAGTAGAGAGAATGATTTATTTCAGCTTTTATTTATTTCATCACATTCCCAGTGGGTCAGAAGTTTACGTACACTCAATTAGTATTTGGTAGCATTGCCTTGAAATTGTTTCACTTGGGTCAAACGTTTCGGGTAGCCTTCCACAAGCTTCCCACAATAAGTTGGGTGAATTTTGGCCCATTCCTCCTGACAGAGCTGGTGTAACTGAATCCGGTTTGTAGGCCTCCTTGCTCGTACACGCTTTTTCAGTTCTGCCCACATATTTTCTATAGGATTGAGGTCAGGGCTTTGTGATGGCCACTCCAATACCTTGACTTTGTTGTCCTTAAGCCATTTTGCCACAACTTTGGAAGTATGCTTGGGGTCATTGTCCTTCCTGAGCGGTATGACAGCTGCGTGGTCCCATGGTTTTTATACTTGCGTACTATTGTTTGTACAGATGAACGTGGTACCTTCAGGCGTTTGGAAATTGCTCTTGACTTGTGGAGGTCTACCATTTTTTTTCTGAGGTCTTGGCTGATTTCTTTTGATTTTCCCATGATGTCAAGCAAAGAGGCACTGAGTTTGAAGGTAGGCCTTGAAATACATCCACAGGTACAACTCCAACTGACTCAAATTATGTCACGCCCTGGCCTTGAGAGGCCGGTTGTCTTTAGTTGGTTTGGTCAGGGCGTGAGGATCTATGTTAGAATTTCTGTGTTTAGGTTATAGTTTTCCTATTTCTATGTCTGGCCGGGTATGATTCCCAATCAGAGGCAGCTGTCGCTCATTGTCTCTGATTGGGGATCATACTTAAGTAGCCTGTTTTCCTACCTTAGTTGTGGGATCTTGTTCCTGTTAGTCTGGTATGTGTACAGCCCATTGGACTTCACGTTACGTTGTTTCTTGTTTTGTTGAATGTTTATTTAGTTAATGAACATGTACGCTTTTCACGCTGCACCTTGGACCGACCCGTCTCTCAACGTTTGTGACAAATTATGTCAATTAGCCTATCAGAAGCTTCTAAAGCCATGACATCATTTTCTGGAATTTTCCAAGCTATTTAAAGGCACAGTCAACTTAGTGTATGGAAACTTCTGACCCACTGGAATTGTGATACAGTGAATTATAAGTGAAATAATCTGTCTGTAAACAATTGTTGGGAAAATTACTTGTGTCATGCACAAAGCAGATGTCCTAACCAACTTGCCAAAACTATAGTTTGTTAACAAGAAATGTGTGTAGTGGTTGAAAAACAAGTTTTAATGACTCCAACCTAAGTGTATATAAACTTCCGACTTCAACTCTTAAGTATATTTTAAACCAAATACTTTTAGACTTTTACTCAAGTAGAATACTTTTACTTCAGTAATCTTCTATGAAGGTATCTTTACTTTAACTCAAGTATGACAATTGGGTACTTTTTCCACCACTACCCCATGGACTCAGTACTGGTACTGGTGTATATAGTAATGTTATGGACTCGGTACTGGTACTGGTAATATGTTATGGTAGTTATGCATTATTCTTTCTCCTATGTCTCTATGTGTCTCTCTGCATTGTGGGGGAAGGGCCCCGTCAGTAAGCATTTCACTGTTATTCTACACCTGTTGTTTACCAAGCATGTGACATTTGATTTGATACACACCAGTGGAGGCCGCTGAGGGGAGTACGGCTCATAATAATGGCTGGAACGGAGCCAATAGAATGGTATCAAACCCATGAAAAACCTGGTTTCCAACGTGTTTGATCCCATTCCATTGACTCCGTTCCAGCCATTATTATGAGCCGTACTCCCCTCAGCGGCCTTCACTGGTAGACAGACACACACACCAGTCTAAATTGCTCTGTAATATTTCAGATGTCCGTCTCACCTTTCTCTCAAGGGCTGCCTCCTCTACGGGGTAGCACGCATGTACTCTGTGTTGTTTAGACGACTGACAGACGACACAAATGGGCTCCTCGTCGTCGCGACAGAATAACTTCAGCTTCTCGTTGTGAAGAAGGCACTCTCCCCCTGGTCGTGCCCTGCTCTCTGTAAACCTGTCGGCTGCTATCTTCAGGACCAGGTTGATAGGAGGCCTCGCCGAGGGCGACGCGGTCTGACACACGGGGCATTCTCTGCCTCCTTTCCATTCCCACAGCTTCTGTAAACACTCCTTGCAGGAGTTATGGCCACATTTCAGAAGGACGGGGTGGCTGAACACCTCACAACACACCGGACAAAGCAGGTCCTGCTCAGAGAGTGAAGCTAGTCTTACTGGTTTTGCTGTCATTTGATTATAGTGATCATGCAACCTTACTACCCTAGAATAAAGAGATTATATTCTAGATTCGGTTCCTGCAACCTCACCTCTCTAACAACTAAATGTTTTGTGATCTCAGTGATGTTGGTGTAAACCTTTGTCAATGCTGACATACTAGCTGGACCTGTTTAGTTCAAGTTCAGAGCAAATTGATTGGATGTAGAGTATCACTTCCTCATTGCTAGTGAATTGGTCCTTACCGTAACTAACCATCAGGTGGAAAGGGTTGTTGCAACCACACTGTCTGGAGTGGAGTGAGTCATGACATTTACTGTATGTCCACGTTTAGTTTGTTCTTCCTGAAACCTGTCTATAGATGTACCTGTTTTAGACAGCTTGTTCTCACATGCTTAAAAGGGGGTCAATAGTGTAGAGAAATCACTGTGGTCAATACAGCTTGAGAACATTGTTTTTATTTGATCATAGAAGGTACGCATGTATGTAGAGTAGATGGTATGATGTCTGTCCACATGGTACTTGAGGTGGGAGTTTCACCAAAAAATATCTATGTTAGAGACTGTCTAACATTGAACGATTCTTATCAGTGAGGAGTATCATGTTATGATATTTGGTGAAATTCCCTAAACACGATGTATTGCTAAAGGAGATATATTACGTGGACCGTGTTTTTTACTGCATAAATGTGGTTGAGAGGGGCAAGGCTCGGAGAAAGACAATCTGAGGTAGTTTACTTTAAACCGTTGACGGAACAATGATCTGTATCGTTCACCAGCAATAGCAAACAGGTCATTAGGCTTAGCTAGACAATCATATTCAGATGTGAGGAGATTATTATCTGAACTTTAACACCAACGAGGTAAAAGGTCAAACGTTCAAACAAAGTTATCTTCAACCATGTTATCTCTAGCTACAGTGTTAGTATCTCTAAATGGGGTTTGTTATAAATGTAACAAAATCATAACGAGAATAAACACAATCGTTTTATAAATTTTTTATAATATTCAATATTATAATAAACATTGGGTTTTGGAGGGGGAAAAAACCAGCTAATCATTATGTTGAAAGGGATGATTGTTGAGCCATTTGGGACAATGTGTATACTGGTTGCGCATGCTGTAGAAACGTAAGCTTGTCTTCTGAGTAAATATATTCCTTACACATAAAACATAGTTATGATCAAAAATGATAAATTATACAAAACCCAGTTAGGGTTAGTTAGGGTTGTTGATCACATGATGTTGTAGGCTAATGAATGTGCTTTATACTTCTCACAATATGCTGAAATTAATTGGAAATGTTTGGATAAATGATGACAAAAATATTGATATTAATAAATAAATAAAAAGTCATACAGTGTGACTTTCGATAATCAAAACCCATTTGTGTATTGATCAAAGTATTATTTACTTGTTCTGCTTTGCAAAGAAAACATGCAATAACTACCCACATGGTGTAATAACTACCCACACGGTGTAATAACTACCCACATGGTGTAATAACTACCCACACGGTGTAATAACTACCCACATGGTGTAATAACTACCCAAATGGTGTAATAACTACCCACATGGTGTAATAACTACCCACATGGTGTAATAACTACCCACACGGTGTAATAACTACCCACATGGTGTAATAACTACCCACATGGTGTAATAACTACCCACACGGTGTAATAACTACCCACATGGTGTAATAACTACCCAAATGGTGTAATAACTACCGACACGGTGTAATAACTACCCACATGGTGTAATAACTACCCACATGGTGTAATAACTACCCACATGGTGTAATAACTACCGACACGGTGTAATAACTACCCACATGGTGTAATAACTACCCACATGGTGTAATAACTACCCACATGGTGTAATAACTACCCACATGGTGTAATAACTACCCGCATGGTGTAATAACTACCGACACGGTGTAATAACTACCCACATGGTGTAATAACTACCCACATGGTGTAATAACTACCCACATGGTGTTATAACTACCCACATGGTGTAATAACTACCCGCATGGTGTAATAACTACCCACATGGTGTAATAACTACCGACACGGTGTAATAACTACCCACACGGTGGAATAACTACCCACATGGTGTAATAACTACCCACATGGTGTAATAACTACCCACATGGTGTAATAACTACCCACATGGTGTTACTACTAATAAACAGTAGAATCAATCAGATTTAAGAAATGTCAAAACACTTTCACAGAAATAAATGAGAATAATAAATATCTTTAAAATGTATTATTATTCAATATGCAAATGATTGGTCAGACAAGATTGTTTCCCAATAATAGATAGTTTCCCTGTAACAGCTCATTTGAAGGGTACCTAAGGACTTCATAACCCATACATAACCCATACATAACCCATTCATAACCCACACATAACCCATACATAACCCATTCATAACCCACACATAACCCATTCATAACCCATTCATAACCCATTCATAACCACACATAACCCATACATAACCCATGCATAACCCATTCATAACCCATACATAACCCATTCATAACCCATACATAACCCATACATAACCCATTCATAACCCATTCATAACCCATACATAACAAATTCATAACCCATTCATAACCGCAGTACATTATCATTTTATAAATTGTCTTATTTCAACAACCGTAAGTTGAAATCTGCAGTATAAGCGACAGTGTCGTGTCATAACGGACTTGCTGTAGTTGGCATATACATTTATGAAATGTTCATGTGCTGTGTTATGTATAGGTTATGAATGTGTTATGAAGTCCCTATGTAGGTACCTCTCCAAAACTCTTGAGCATGCCGTCTTTAGCCAACTAAGAGCGTCTGCTAAATGACGTAAATGTACCTTTTCAAATAAAGTGTTACCAGTTTCTCTTTCTCAAAAATCTTTTTGATTTAAATTGCAACAAACTCTCTGTTAACGTTGTAGACTCAAAATAAACATATACTTGTACTTCTCCAGGAATGAACGCTCGATAGGAATAGGAATTGATTCAAAATAATAAATAAGACAATGCGTGGTAAAACGGCTCCTTGGTCACCCTCGGGTGAATGCTAACTTTTTTGCATTGAGGTCAATGGGAGACGAAGTGAAACATTATTACATTTACATTACATTTTAGTCATTTAGCAGACGCTCTTCTCCAGAGCGACTTACAGTTAGTGAATACATATTTTTTTATACTGGCCCCCCGTGGGAATCGAACCCACAACCCTGGCATTGCAAACACCATGCTCTATCAACTGAGCTACATCCCTGCCGGCCATTCCCTCCCCTACCCTACCCTGGGCCAATTGTGCGCCGCCCATGAGTCTCCCGGTCGCGGCCGGCTGCGACAGAGCCTGGATTCGAACCAGGATCTCTAGTGGCACAGTTAGCGCTGCGATGCAGTGCTTTAGACCACTGCACCACTCAGAAGACATTATGTCAATTTAAGTGGAAGTTAAGATTCACCCCTTAGAATAAGGGAAAGCTAAATCAAACAAATGAACAAGTACATCACAACCATTCTATCCGCACCCTTGTCTTTTGATGGTTATTATAAATCCTCTATTCTGGAACCAAGATCATAGTAAAAGTGGTTTGTTCTTTACACAGATGTGACAATGTACATGTTCACTGAGAACTCATGATGAATAGCTTGTCCAGAAATAATAGCATCTTAACATAAATAATCCATATTAGAAAACTTATAGCTGGTCATTTTACCTTCTTTTCCTTTCGATGGGCATATTTTTATAGATAGTCTGGTCAAATCTGAACAAAATCACAGTGATTTCACTGAACCCTCCAAAAATGTATGTTTAACACAACGTTCAATGACATGCTTACAGTGAATCTTCCAGCACACCATAACCAAAGTAAACGTGACATCAGTGATTCCCAGCCGGTGTGTGTGCCTTGAGGAACTCTCTCTGTGTGCAGCTGAATTTTTCCTAATCTTCATCAACAGATTTAACACACTTATAAACGTGACCTGTCTAATGCACATGGACTTTTGACTTGGGGAGCACTAGTGGCGGTCAGATAATACATTAAATGTCACATGGTTTCATCTGTATGGTTGTTTCAAGTCCAGTGTGCTCAGGCTGTTACATTTGGTATCGTTTGAGGGGCGCGCATCACAAGCAAAGTCATTTGCATCATTCTACTTAATCGTGTAAACCAGTCTGACTAGGCTTTGAATTTCTTCTTCTTATATTTTTTATTTATTTTACCTTTATTTAACTAGGCAAGTCAGTTAAAAACACATTCTTATTTACAATGACGACCTACACCGGCCAAACCCAGGCGACGCTGGGCCAATTGTGCGCCGCCCTGTGGGACTCTCAATCACGGACGGTTGTGATACAGCCTGGAATCGAACCAGGGGGGTCTGTAGTGACGCCTCAAGCACTGAGATGCAGCGCCTTAGACCGCTGCGCCATGTCTCTGGGTTTACCACAGCCTCTGCCATAGAAACAAACAGAGCATGGCTTTGTGTCTGTGGTTGCTGCTTTACAATGCAGAAAAACCACTGGTCTGCTACCCGAACCGGTAGCTGGAGAAAAATACAAAATAAAGGACAAAATCTGGTGCAGATTCGCGGGACGCTCTTAAAGGGGTACACACAAACTACCGGTAGTCTGTCCTTGTCCGAAAAAGGAGTGACTGAGGTCAGGGGAATCCCATTGACATGATGTAGTGTCCTGGTTCCAGGCAGGCACCTTGCCTCCTACTGCACCCTAGTAGCCTCCTTCCCTCATACCATCACACAAACCAAGGCTTTGTGGAGGAACGGACACATTTGGGGCAGCCCTTGGAACCGTTGTTCTGCGGACACCTGAGAGGAAAGAAGAAGAAGAAGAAGAAGAAGAAGAAGAAGAAGAAGAAGAAGAAGAAGAAGAAGAAGAAGAAGAAGAAGAAGAAGAAGAAGAAGAAGAAGAAGAAGAAGAAGAAGACGGCTGAATTGATAAATATAACCCTGGTAACTGACCCATGTAAAATCCTACACTCTGGGAACTGACCCATGTAAAATCCTACACTCTGGGAACTGACCCATGTAGACTTCATATGTTTTACAAGTGTTCCCTCACCAATTCTACCTCTGGATATGAAACATGTTGAGCAAAAGGTGAGAGCCTAGTAAAAAAAACATGAACTGATTCACACCCCAAAAAGGTTTGTAGAGGTG